TATTCACATGATTTCCGAAAACGGGTGTTGCGCCCTACCCACATAATAGTTAGCTTTACTCCACGTCCCTGAAAAAGATTCAGCTATCAGAAGACAATTTTAGAACCAATCGATCTAATCAAGATGAATTTGACGACGTTTGCAATACTTTGTTTATGAGATCTGCTTTGTGTCTGGCGCTGACTTTGGTATTCTTCTTGCCTTTGTATGCGTGGGATGGCCTTGGGGTCAGATCAAGGTTTGATTCTGCTTATCTTTCAAGACACACGTATTCAGGCAAACTTAATGCCTGCTTCAACCTTGTCAGAATTCTCGAGATTAACGCAACGTTGAAGCCAAATAGTTTTCCTCTGCCGCACATGAAATGTAGAGTGGATGCTTAAATGCATAATCGGTTGAGATGTTGCTTCCGACTAGTGGAGACCTATCATGAGACGTCGGATTAGGTAGGAGGAAGGACCTGTTGAATTCGTTAAAAATTAAATGTAGGGTATGAAATGTTCTTAAAGTTCGATAGGCGTTTTCTCCTCCTCCAAAGTGTGTGCGATTTAGCCTTGGGCCTTTGGTTTGCTCTATTGGTCATGCCAATAATTTCGATCAACTTATATTTCCTTGATTTGACTACTCAGACTATTTTGTGATGGGTTGGAAGCTGCTTGGCACGTCTGCCGCGGTCCAAGCAATTCGCTTATATGCTCATTCAGTACTGTCTTGGCATAGTTTGCTCGCCTCGCACCTGCAAGGATAATTTACAACCACTCAATTTGTATAACCCTGCCTATTCAATCCCACTGCCAGACAATTCTCGTATAATACTGCTTTTTTCCAACAGTAAGGCTTGGTGAGTTGATCGAGAATGTGGCATTCACTACAACGGCATCGTTGCAATGTCCTCGAACGAACATTGCTGCGTCTGGTGGAGGAAAGAGGTCAAGTAAGCTTGCACGAGGCCGACGAGATTACTCTTGGTTCCACCACCTCGTCAGCAGCAACACGCATTTGCCCGTGTTCACCTAATCAGTCTCTGAGCATTTCCGTTTGTGCTGAGATGCCACCACTCCAAAGTTAAATCTACGATGTTGAGCCGCTCAGAGAAAGCTGATGTTGAGCGCACGCCAGTGGGAAGATGGTCGGATGGGGCACGTGGGGCTGCACAAGCGATTAGAGTGGCGATATCATTCACCATGTATGAGCACAAGAAGGGAAGGGAGGCGAAAAATGAATCAGACCAGTGTGCTCAAGTCCATGGGAGTGGGCAAATCACGTGAACGGATGTGGAAAGCCGTATAGCAAAATAGCCAATTACATGTCAATCCAATCCATCATTTCCATATGAACGAAGTGTGGGCTTTCGGTTGTCCCTCTTATCCGCTGTTGCAGACTCTCCACTTGCTTTACAAAGTAAGCATGCAGAGAAATCTAGAACATGGCAGGTGGTCAGGATGCACGATAAGCAACCAGAAATTGATAGCATTGAAACGCAGTCGAAGCCCTTAATGAGAGACCACACAGCAGCTGTTTTTGTTAAAAGCAGGAACGCTGCAAATGTCGGTCTTGAAATCAGAAATACCTATCGAATTTGTATGCTCTGCCAGCCCTTGAAGAATCCAAACATAATCTCATGCTAAAAAGGTAGGACATCGCGTTTATTATAACTTTGCCTTAGTCTCGACAGTTAGTCCTCTTTCCACCCATAAGCCTGCAAACGCTGAGAGTTGGCCTCAAGGCAGGGCACAAATGCCGCATTCCACCTCTGCCTTGGTTGAGAACATGTGGAGCTACGCATTACCCTTACGGTTTCGACTTTAGTTGTCTGCTCATTGTCTACAACTAAACATGGCTAACCCCTCTGTGCATAACTGCGTTTCTAGTAGAGAAACCAACACAATTCGGGACTAATTGGTGTCAAGTAGAGTAGTCACGGCGTCCGACGTGATGCCTCGCATAACATTCACTGACAATCAAACCCGGTTCTAATGCCAGTACAAAGTCACGTATTTGACAAATCCAACAGACATCACCGCATTGAAAATGCTTTCCCCACGTACATAAAGAGGTGGATAAGTTGAAAATTTTATCATAAATGTGATGTGCGGGGCATTTTAATTGGCTAGCGCAATGAAAGTACATTTGCATTCAGTTATTACTACAAGAACTTGACCTCAATAAGGTCACGACGTTTTTGCTTTTGCTCAAGAACTGGAAGCCTTATTATTTTTTTGAATAATTTCCAGTTGAACCCAGCGAAGTATCTCCGCAATATTAGTAGCCATATTCTTTGGTCTGTTGGTACACCACATTCGCCAAACGGGACGTAAAGGGGGCGGCATGGGACAAAGAAAACCTCCCATTGTCCAAAATATTGACCACAAGCAGTGCATATTTGAAGGAAGAGGGTATTTTCGCATCATCGATCCTGTGACGGCAAGAATTTGGTGCGAAGACATCACCTTGGATAATTCCCATAGGTTCACTCGTCCATAATCGGCTCCACAGATATCGACATAAAAAATAGCGCAGTCATATCCGCACAACAATTTTTTTTCAGCCTCATATATTCTATCTTCATCCGGGCGTTCATAATTGTTCAATATAGTGCCACCCACTTTTTCCAAATATCGCTCCCAAAAGTGTGAAAAGTTGGGCACTCCCGACGACACGTCCAAACTGAGACGTGTTGGGTTTGCAGACGGCACTAAAGGTACGTCACAAAGGTAATGTATTAGCTTGCGTCCCATAAGCCTTCTGTAGTCGAACGGTGTGATAATAATACAGCGGATGGCTTTTTTAAAACCAGTAGCCAATTTTCTCGATTCTAGCTCCCGATAACGCTTCTCAGTATCACAGTAATACTTGATTGAAGGTAGGACAGCCACTGAGTCGACTATGGGACCTCCAGGAGTAAGCAGCTTGCAAAGTTTATGGTCCACCCATTTGATATCATTTAAGCTCATTAAGCTGGTGTTATCTTCCTTTGAAGCACCTTTCTTGCCTGAGCCACGTATTTCCTTCTATAAATATGGAACTCAATGTGTGCAGAGCAAATCTGACCTACAGAATGTTCCATGAAGTCGAAGCTAACCACAACCAAAATAAACTGAAGTCTTTCCATGTGATGAGCTATCGCCAGACATTTCTAAAATCCACTCCAATCCATCCAATCAACAAACGGTGAGCACCGCTGAATGTGCTCAAGTACAACTCAAAAGTCCTCCTAAGGGCTTTCGTGGATGGTCCAGAGGCAACAGCTGTGGTGTTTCCATTACTGGCCATAACGCTGCTTTGCCTTGCAGTTATGTGGGTGACACTTTGGGCCCTTTGAGGTGTGGCACGGGAATTGTGGTAGCAAGGATTTAGTAAAGCTACAGAGTTAAGGGTGCAGGAGACTACGTTTGAGGACGCATGAAGTGGAGCACAGAAGGAGGGAAATCATAGCAGCAGCAGAAGGTGGGTGGTCGGCGTGTTTTGCTAGGATTTCCGCAATTATTG